CAACGACAACCACTGAACTACAGGCTCCTGACATGGGACAGACACATAGATAATAAGGCGGGGTCAAACAGGTTGCAAGCGCTCAGTCCTCCTCTAACCTGGGACAGTGGTGTAACAGTACAACATAAGAACAAACTGTTAAAATCAGTAGCAATTGGCTTAACTAAAAAGATCGGTACGAGGCACAAAAACAACTAACATCAAAACAATAGACACAAAGCATCAGTAGTACTCGCAGTTACTGAAAGCTAGTTCAAAGCCAATTGCAACTAAAAGATAAATCATGATATCCCAGACAAAAGTATCAATCAGTACAAATCCAACGGAAATAGTGTACGGAGGTAATAAACAGTCTGATAAACGCATGACCTTGTGCAATACCATTCTAAAAGTAAACAGTATCGACAGGATGTAGGATGAGTGTTCATGACTGTACATATATAGCAATATATCTTTAGTTATGTTTTAATTTTTTTTTTAAACAAAATCAATGTTAGTACCAATAAAAACAATATTTAGAGATATTACTACTGTGTCTATACTCAGTTTTCAGTGAGCTTTGTCTTGTTCTAGTTTTCGAAGCAAATGCATGGACAACGGTCTTATCTTTTTTCTTTAACCAAGGTGTTATTTGTCCTTATTCGATTGATTTCTCCGAAAATATTTCTACGCAAAAATTTAAGAGGAAAATAATAATCCCCACATACGAAGGGATCTATGTAGGAGCAATGAATAAACTGCATATCGAAATGACGGAAGTGATCCTATTTGTATATAGCCATAAATCAACTTCTAAAATGTTTAAGCATACGTCAAATGTTAGAACTATGGTAACTGCTGTATCGTTTCTTTTTCACTCGGCTTTTTTTCAAGTTTTGTTTAGATAAAACTTGACAGTACAAGGGTATGTATCTATTAAATCAACATGTGCCTCTTCTATTAACGACAGAGCAACGTGTTAGGTTGCAGGTGCGTACAATCAATGCAACGACTTCCGGCACAGACGGCATCTAAGGTCAACATGTTGAAGAGTTAAGATGGCAACGATTTTCATATGCTGTCTTAATTGAGAATAATTAATTAGTTTCTCATGTCTAATTAGTGTTTAATTGCATAGGGAAACATATTGTTTTTCTCATTTTCTGTGAGAACAACCACAGTAGCAGATATTCAAGTTTTAGTTCTTTTAGTTTTTTTCACCCTTCGTTTTAATTCGTTATTATAATAATTATACATACATTTGTACTTAAAAGTTTCGACCTATTTTTGTCATGCATTGCAGTGTTCGATCGGAGAAGGAAAGAACTAAGAAACAGCAACAGTGCTACACTGAACTTGACTTTATGGGAATATTCCATAGAATTAAATGGACTTTCCGATATTAAACATGTTGTATAGGCCACTCCTATATTTTAATATAGTTTTATTTTATAGCACTTGCAAGGTCTTGCAAATTGTATTATATGTGAAATAAATTGCTTTTACCCCGTCATCGTAAGTATGAAACATTAAGATTTTGGAAATCAATCATATAAAATTTTAAAGATTTTTTTGACAACATTAGTAAATTGAAGCTTTGTATGACATCTTTATGATACCCCTCGTTTGGTATAATTGTTTAAATGTGTTACTGTGATTCTATTAAAAATAATAATCCTGAGATTGTATTAATTATGTTATGTATCCCCCAGTATTTACACTAGTAGATTTATATTTAAAAACTACAACCCGTTGCTATCATTTTCTTTGGAAATAAAGAGTTAAATCAAAGAAGCGCTACACTACAAGGTAGTTTAAATGAGAGAGAGAGAGAGAGAGAGAGAGAGAGAGAGAGAGAGAGAGATGGATATTGTTTTCTGTTTGTTCAACATAAGTCTGATAAGTCAATCTCGTTGTTTCTAAATATCGCTAAACTCTTCTCTGATTAAAGGAAATTACATAAATTATCCTCGATATGTTGAAAACTTTAGAAGGAAAAGAATCATTACAAATACTAAATTATGAGTCAAATGTTATTATTGTGCAACAAAATGAGTTTTCTTAATTAAAACCATGTCAATCAGTTTGCCTAAATTACATTCATAATGGCATATTTATTGTTTGACGACACTTTTAATGATTAAGCAAGCTGTAACAAGTTGTGCTTTTGGAACACATTTTACCCGTAATAACTACAGAACGAATTAATTAAAAGACCTCATTAAAGTCACAATTAAGTCGCATCTCACTGTTACGGAAATAATGATAGGAAAAGCAAACTCTGGAATACCACACTGTGAGATATATATGTGTGTGCAGGTGCTGCTAGTATGTTGATGGAAAGTTAACAATGTTAAAATGGTCGTAAAGTTCAGTTCTCAAACGACGTTAACTGTTAACGTTTAGATCCTTACGTTATCTGTGGTATCTTTTGTTTCAAGCACAGTGGGATCGATGCAATCAACATAGTCACCATAAAAATGGTTAAGATTTTTAAAATTCAGACAGCGGTCAATAATGAAAGAGAGGCGAGAGATACCAAAAAGAGATATTCAAACTCATAAGTCAAAAACAAACTGATAATGCCATTACGGATACATTTACCAAACCCCATTTGTTTAGATAAAGCGAGGTCTACATTTTTCTAAGTATGATAAGGTGTACATGACGGATTTTATCAATAAAGATTTAAAGATTGTTTCAAACATTTCCACTCACAGGTTTATGAATTGAAGATACAATTTTTGTTTTAATTTTTATGGTTGACGTTTAACTAAGTCAGAACAATGTTAAAGACGAGAATTATATTCAAATTACAAGTCCGTAGACCATGCAGTTGTTCTTTGTATTTTATGTCACTCCTTCAAACAAACAAATGCAAAATTAATTCAAAGCACCAGTTTATCTAAATATTTCATCTTATATCCTCTGTTTTTTCATCTTTTAATGTAAAAATAAAATGAAAAAAATGTAATCTGATTTATAAAATAACAGACAATTTTATACATTTATCAATGCGGTATTTACCTACTAAGTTCCACACAAGATTACTGTATATCCTTCAAAACTGTACAAAATTCACAGCCACATGTCAATATCTAAAAACCTAACCCCTAACTATCCTTCATTAAAAGAAATGAGTTTATGTAAAGGAAAAGAAACAAAGTATAATTTTAACACTAAGATCATGACAACAATTAAAAATATTGAAAGACAGTTTTGTTTAAAACGAAAAGAGTTCAAAGTTTTAAAAAATCTAAGAAAAGAATGAATATATTGAGTGGCATGTTTCAAAGAGATAAAGTTGATTGAGGTTATTTGTTTTATTTTGTATGTTCAGTTCATGAGAGAATTGTTGCATCTGTTAATAACGAAAGGATCAACACTTTATGAAAAAGAAGGCAATTTCATTCAAAAGAAGATTTGATGGGTTTCTAATAAATTGAAAAACTTTATTAATAAGTGTTTTTATACATTTTATTGCACGATATGTATCATGATGATTGTATTATAGATCCGACCATAAGAACAGTTTGGGAATTTTACCACTGTACAAGAGGTGCCAACGTCACTGTTAAATAAGGGGAAGAAATGTCCTCTTTTCTATCAGACAGATAATGTCATTTGGTCTCTGGTCCATAGTTGTCTCATTGGCAATCATATCATATCTCCTTATTTTTAAAACTTTTAAGTGCTTTGTAACGGTATTAGTTTTATTTCCATTCTAAAAGTAAGAAATTTCACAAAAAGGCAAAGAGTGTTGCCATTATTTAAAAGTAAAATAACAGAAATACCGAACTCCAAGGAAAATTCAAAACGGAAAGTCTATATAAACTATTCATCAGAGGAGTTGATGTACGTTCTGTAAACAGATTCTCAGAGAGACATTCATCAATACTCAAACTGTTTTTATGCAAAATTTACTGCAAATTTTGATAAATGATAAGTGAACACCGTTCTTTAAAGCTTTAAAAAGAAAAACACATTTATCCTGAAAATTATGCCGATTTTTTCATAACGTCGTCAACAATCAATCTATTTAAGTAGACCGAAAGCATATCAAAACTGATGTATATCGCTTAAAGAGGAACGGCCAATTCTTCCTGGAATTATTTTACTCACACGGGCAATTTTGCAAAATCGAATAGTTGATGAAATATAGTGGCATTTGATTTTCAAACAGTCCAAACCATGTACTGAAAAGATTTGTTTTCAATAATTTGAATCACAGTCATAAAATCAAAATGTTAGTTACCATTATACGTTGCAATTAAAAAATAATCATGTTTTTTGTACAATTTTCATCAAAGAACACCTGAAACCAAAATGATGAAATTTGTATATTTGGAACATCTTTCTTATTCCTACTTCGGAAAAATACCAGAAATTTTTTGAAAATAAAAATTGTATATTAGGCAATCTTTAAGCATCTATAATTGAGTAGCATTTTAGAAAGACGACACAATGTTGGTAGATCCTAAAACAACACCCACGAAGCTGTTATACTGTATTGTATATAAATGTCTGTAAATATATGCATATTCATGCACATATGCTGCACCCTCTCTGTACCTATGTATCTGCAATGGTTATGAGAATAAAGATATTGTATTGTATTGTGAATGTTAGTAAATATCAAACGACTTTTAGAAAATGGGCTTGATTGGTATTAACTAATTTTATGGATATATCAGAGATCATTTATTTTTCTAAAATCATGGAGAAAAATATCTTTTCTATGTAAAAAAAGTGCAAAGTCAAACCAATAGTTGATACTTCTCATCAGAATTAGTTTCTAGTTTAATTATAGCTGCTTTTGATATAAGTTTTTTCATAGTATTTCTAGCCAGATACATATCCATATCCTTCTTCAATATATTATATAACTTATGATTTCAATGCAAATCAAAAGACAATAATACTTTATAAAAGTTTGGTTTGCTTGTATAAAAGCATCATGTAGAGTTTCTATAAAACTTCGATTTATCAGAAACAATTAATCAGACCTGATGTTTCTTCTGAACTGTGCGCACGGTTGTTAATTATAGTGAAAATATGTCTTTCTCTTTATTGATGTTAGTATGAAATCTGACTAAACTGATTAATTTGTGGTAAACCGAATCTATTGTGACTGCATGCCGGTCAGTCTGGTCTTATTATAGAAGTCTAGAAAAAGCTGAAGTAATAGTTTGGATGTCACTACTAATTTTTCTCATTCAGGTAAATTATAATTTATAAATTTAAAATATCAAAATGTGATTAAAAAGACAGATTTATAAGATGTTGTGCACTTTCCTGCACGTGTTTGCATTTATGAAGGTCTTGTGCTGTTTTACTCTTGTATGAATTCCTCAGCCTTTTAAACAAAATATAGTACAGTTTTAAAATTTTCTTTTCATGTGCTCACAGTATTTTAAATGGTTTATCAAACCATAAATGTAATTAAACAGATGCTATAAAAATATCATCAAATTATAAATAAAAGTGTATCATTTAAATCATGTGACAGTCAAACTAGAAATAAATAACATGGTGTTTATCTGCTTTTTCTCGCGCCAAATTCAATACATTGTGCATATTTTGTTGCTATCGTCAGATTAATTATTAAATGATAAAAGAAACACTGAACAATATGTGTTTTGTTTTATTTCTGAGTGCTTTTTTTGTTGAATTAATAATTAAAGTTAAAATCCATTAGATGAAATTATACTTTAAGGTTTTCATTAGGATATAATCCTACGCTATAACACACCATGTGAGTTTGCCTAGCATGGCCTTTGTCTTTGTCAGTGTCAATGTGAACACGTCATTACACAAGGGCTCTTGAAATGAAATATCCTACATCAAAAGAGTTAAGATTTGGAGGATTGCTTCATACGTTCAGATTAGGGAAATCTTTCAAATAACTACACTACTGTCTAAACCGGTATAATAATGTTTTACATCAGTGAATATTTTTATGCTTTAGAACTTTGCCTACGTTAAAAGCTATTTAATAGCTGATTACTTATCATGTAATTAGTAATTAGAATAAGATAACCGTCTACTTATAGTCTGTAAGATATGTATCATCATAAAGAATACTGCTCTTGCAAGAATAAGTTAAATATATGCTTAGACTTAAGTTTGCCGTTCTATTGAATTATTATATATGCCAGGTTTTTGTTTATTCTCCAAAAAGAGTCCATACTATTCAATGTATGAAGGCCATTTTAGATTCATAAGAAAAGCACAGATGCAAGAGTTAAGAGCAAAATGTACAAAACTATACGGGGCTTAATAACCGAAGTAGAATTAAAGGCAAAACAAGAAACAAACAAAAAATAGAAAAAAATACATTTGCATGTATAAATTGACAAAATATACGGATTTACAGAATTTAATATGTGTTTTAAAATTGTAAAATGTTGTCAAAATGTTCAAATTGTTTTTCCATAGTGACATTTGTATATGTCCGAGTCAATTTTCATCCATTTACATAATTAATGCAAATATTATTGAGATAGAAGGTTGCTGATAACAAGGAAGCTATTAAACCAAGGGTTTGAAGTGGTGAAGTGGAGGAAACCCATAATCCTGTGCGCTTTTCGTTGAATGTGACATCATCGAATTAGACTAATCACCATATTTGTACTTAAATGAGCAACACAACGGGTGCCTCATGGGTAGCAGGGTCTGCTTACCCTTCAGTATTGTTTTTGCAGACTGCTATTAGTCCTTAAGTAGTTTTTCGTTTTTTGCAATGGCGTTGTCAGTTTCTCTTGGATTCTCTTTGTTATCTTCCTCATCTCTTTTATTCATTCCTTCTAAAAGACAAAAAGAAAAAGCACCTTGCGAAATTCTTTAATTTTACTTTCCGATATATTGATGATGTCCTATCATTGAATAACCCATATTTCAGCCAATACTTACATCTTATATATCCCAGTGAACTTGAAATTAAGGATACTACTGATAATAGAAGGACTGCTTCATACCTTGATCTTCTCCTCAATATTGACACAGATGGACGACTTCACACAAAAATCTATGATAAACGGGACGATTTCAACTTCCCAATTATCAATTTCCCATTTCTCAGCAGTAACATACCCTCTGCCCCTTCGTATGGTGTTTGCATATCTCAGTTGATACGTTATGCTCGTGCATGTTCACACTATACGGAAATCATATACAGGAGTGTGCTCCTAACGCAGAAACTGCTCCAACAAAGTTATGAGGAGAACAGATTAAAAATGACACTCCGTAAATTTTACGGACACCATCACGAATTGGTCGATCCATACGATGTGTCTTTGTCCAAACTAACTAAGGACATTTTTACCACGTGTTAGATTGTGGTTTGACATTACGTCGTTTGATCTTTTAATTACCGAACGTGACTTATTCCCGATTGTGACTGTTTTGCTGAGTGTGAATTCGCATTGCTATAAGACGTGTCACGGTACCTTTCTATCCAAAATTCATGTATTTAGTTTTGATGTTATATTTGTTATTCTCATCGGATTTTGTCAAATGTCTTATCGTTTGTAGTTGTAAATCTTATTTTTTTTCTGTTGTATTCGTGTGTTATGGTAAAGATTATTTATCTCCCAGTTCGTTAATTAGATTTTAGTTTGGGTCAACTAAATTTATACGATATATTTGGTTTACAGTTTGATTTAAAAGAAACACCGACATAGCTAGATAATACTATTAATTATCTTATTACTACCACATTTTATATTAATTAGTATTGTAATTTTCATTGTTATTGATAAATGTTATATGAGTATTATAAACCAAATCTTGAATTCTATCCTAATTCTATCCTATTTTGGGGAAATTCCAGAAATTCAAATGTGACGTCACCCCTTTTTTTAGCGTTGATCTCTTTGGCTAACTCGGCTGTGAATTTTTATGTGCTGGTTTATGTTGTTTTATGTATCCGTTTTTATTCTGTAGTTAGTCACCACTTCGGTGTTCTCATGTATATCTATTATATAGTCATTTTTATAAATTTACTGTTTGCAAAAGTATGAATTATTCTAAATACTAAGGATTTTCTTATCCCAGACATATAACCTTAGCCGTATTTGGCACAACTTTTTGGAACTTTTGGTTCTCATGCTCTTCAACTTTGAACTTGTTTTGGCTTTCATACCTTTTTGATCTGAGCGTCACTGGTTAATCTTGTGTGGACGAAACGCGCGTCTTGCGTATTAAATTTTACACCTGGTACCTTTTGTTAGCTATTATTCGTATGTTTCTTTGTCCTATATGTTCTCCCATTTATTTGTATTGTAGTCCTGTCATGTAATGTTGTCATTTAAATGTTATATTTAACATTGCCATAAAAGGTTTGGCTAGCCACAAAACCAGGTTCAACCCACCATTTTTTCTTAAAATGTTCTGTACCAAGTCAGGAAAATGGCCATTGTCATATTATAGTTCGTTTATGTGTGTGTTGCATTTTAATATTGTGTTTCTGTTGTGTCGTACTTCTCCTCTTATGTTTGATGTGTTTCCCTCAGTTTTAGTTTGTAACCCGGATTTGTTTTTTTTTCTCAGTCGATTTATGAATTTCGAACAGCGGTATACTACTGTTGCCTTTATTTACTATGATGCCGAGCATTCATTATAATTATGTTAATCTTGAATTTAATACTTTCTGTTTAAAATTGTATTTGTATCGTTCAAAGCTCAGCGTAAAAAACCAATCTGATACCATGTATTCGAATGTTTTTATGACAATGGAGTTTTACTGTTTTACCTTGGCAGGACTCATTTCGCATCCTAATAATTTTCCAGAACTAGAAATTAAAGAAACGACAGACACGACTTCCTCCGCCTCATTTTTAGACTTATACCTCGAATTTGACATCGGCGGTCATCTCAATACCAGAATCTATGACAAACGAGACGATTTTAATTTTGAAATTATCAATTTCCCCCACCTTAATAGCAACATACCAACTTCACCTGCATATGGGATATACATTTTCCAACTCATTCGGCATTCAAGAGCTTGCAGCTGCTACTCAGACTTTATAAAACGTCACCTGAACAGAAAGTTGATGAACCAGGTTTATGTCAAAGAACGTCTCGTCCTTTTTCTAAAAAAGTTCATCGGAAGACCTTGTTGATAAATATTCCGTATCAACTTCACAAATAATACATGATGGTCTTGAAATATAGATTCTAGGTACTGACGTCGTTTATCATCTTAATTACGTGTTATAATGTTCTTTTATTTGTCTTCGTAAATTATTACCTTTAATGTTGAGTCCATTTTTGGTAATATCCTTTTGGCGTGGCTCGGTACTTATACATCCTGCCATTGTGTTATTGTGCTATGGTCATTTTTTTTATTCTTGTCTTTCGTTTTTGCTTATGTGCTTTGTCTATAAGCCATTTTGTTTTTCTTTGTTGACATATTTGTTTGTTTTTAAAGTGATTAAGATTATAACACAATCTTGACTGCTGTACCCTTATTTTTGACATTTTTACCTATTGTGTCTGTTTGTTTTGTTCACACATTTTTGTCAATATAATGGAATTTTATACGACTGTCATACAAGTGAGAGGTTTAGCTAGCTAGCTATAAAACCAGGTTTACTCCACCATTTTCTACATGGGAAAATGCCTGTACCAAGTCAGGAATATGACGGTTGTTATCCATTCGTTTGATGTGTATGAGCTTTTGATTTTGCCATTTGATAAGGGACTTTCCGTTTTGAATTTTCCTTGGAGTTCGGTTTTTTTTTATTTTTACTTTTTTCATACTAGTATAGCTTACTTCACATTCATATTCTTGTAATCAATAAGAAAGCATTTGCTCCACAAGCCACTGAATGTTAACGTTATTAGGCGTTCAAGATCCATATGTTAAATAAAATGTATTTAGCAGAAGACATTTGAAATCAATGCATTTCATTAGTAAGTTTGATTGTGATTATCGAGCCAGAAGTATTTGGCTGAACTATTTCAGTCCATACAATTAAGTTCCTGAACTGAGTTTTGATTTTTATTTATTAATAATAGAACCATTCAGTTTTTCTATGGAAACATTTTTCTGTTGTATAGTGGTACCTTTAATCCAATTCATATATGAAAACGATTTATTATTTTATAAAAGAAATAAAGGTACAAACATAATATTAAAGGAATATTTGTAGCAAGTGCTATAGTTGTAGGCGTACTATCATAGTCATAGTCCTTTATAAAAGTTCTAATTTAAC